ATCTGTTTCCTATTGCTGCTGTAACAAAGTACCAAAAATTAGTGCCTTCTTATAACAACAGAATTGTATTATAATTCTGGAGATGAGAAGTCTGGAATGAGTCAACAGGGCTGTATTCATTCTAGGACTTTTAGGAGAGAATTAATTCCCCTGCCTTTTCAGGTTCTGGAGGCTGCCTGCAACCCTTGGCTCACGGTTGTGCATAACTTCAACCTTAGCTTCTGTCATCTTGTCTCCTTTTCTGACTCTGATCCTTCTCTCCCCCTCTAAAAGGACTTTGGTATCATATTAGACCCACATGGATAATCAATGATATTCTCCTTATCTCCAGATCTTTAACTTAATCTCACTTGCAAAGTCTTTCTTGATATGTAAGGTAACATATTAATAGGTTCTGGGGATTTGGATATGGACATCCTTGAGGGACGATTATTCTATCAATCACATTGATCTCCCCAACATTATTCTACCAATCACATTAATCTCCCCAATTAAACTTTGAAAAAAAATTAAGTTTTTATTTAAATCCTAGGTGGTTAATATCTAATGTAATATTAGTTTCCCGAGTAGAATTTAGTGATTCATCACTTACATATAACACCCAGTGCTCATCACGAGTGCCCTCATTCTTAATACCCATTACAAATTTTACCCATCCTCCTGCCCACTTCCCCTTCAGGAATCCTCAGTTTGTTCTCTATAATTAAGAGTCTGTTTCATGGTTTGCCTATCTTTTTTTATTGCTCTTGTTCATCTGCTTCATTTCTTAAATTCCACATGTCAGTGAAATCATATGGTGTCTTTTTCTGACTGAATTATCTCACTTAGCATAATGCACTCTAGCTCCATCCACATCATTGCAAATGGCAAGATATCATTCTTCTTGATGGCTGAGTACTATTTCATTGCGTGTGTGTATGTGAGTGTGTGTATATATATATATATATATACACACACACACACTACATCTTCTTTATCCATTTATCAGTAGATAGACACTTGGGCTCTTTCAATAATTTGGCTTTTTTTTTTTTTTAAAGATTTTTTATTTATTTATTTGAGAGAGAGAATGGTAGAGAGCGAGCACGAGAGGGAAGAGGGTCAGAAGGAGAAGCAGACTCCCCGCTGGAGCCGGGAGCCCGATGCGGGACTCGATCCCAGGACTCCAGGATCATGACCTGAGCCAAAGGCAGTCACTTAACCAACTGAGCCACCCAGGCGCCCCAATTTGGCTATTGTTGATGCTGCTATAAACATCAGGGTGCATGTGTCCCTTCAAATCAGTATATTTGTATCCTTTGGGGAAACACCTAGTAGTGCAATTGCTGGATCATTGGGTAGCTCTATTTTTAACTTTCTGAGAAACCTCCATACTGTATTCCCACCAATGGTGTAAAAGGGTTCCCTTTCTTCTCATCCTCATCAACATCTGTTGTTCCCTGTGTTGTTAATTTTAGCCATTCTGACAGGTGTGGGTGGTATCTCATCATGGTTTTGATTTGTATTTCCTGCTGATGAGTGAGGTTGAACATCTTTTCATATGGCTGTTAGCCATCTGGAGGTCTTCTTTGGAGAGATGTCTATGCATGTCTTCTGCCCATTTTTTAACTAGATTAATTGCTTTTGGGTGTTGAGTCTGATAGGTTCTTTATAGATGTTGGATACTAGCCCTTTATCAGATAAGTCATTTGCAAACATCTTCTCCCATTCTGAAGGTTGCCTTCTAGTTTTGTTGACTGAGCCCTTTGTTGTGCAGAAGCTTTCGATTCTTGATGAAGTCCCAACAGTTCATTTTTGCTTTTGCTTCCCTTGCCTCCAGTGGCATGTCTGGTTTAGAAGTTGCTGTGGCCAACGTCCAGGAGGTTGCTGCCTGTATTCTCCTCCAGGATGTTGATGGTTTCCTGTCTCACATTTAGTTCTTTCAACCCATTTTGAATTTATTTTTGTTTATGGTGTAAGAAAGTGGTCCAGTTTCATTCCTCTGCATGCTGCTGTCCGGTTTCCCAACATCATTTGTTGAAGAGATGTTCTTTTTTTCCACTGGATATTCTTTCTGCGTGGTCGAAGAATAGTTGACAATATAGTTGTGGGTACATTTCTGGGTTTTCTATTCTGTTCCATTGATCTATATGTCTGTTTTTGTGCCAGTGCCATACTGTCTTGATGACTATAGGTTTGTAATATAGCTTGAAGTCCAGAATTGTGATGCCTCCAGCTCAGCTTTTCTTTTTCAAGATTGCTTTGGCTATTTGGGTCTCTTATGGTTCCATACACATTTTAGGATTGTTTGTTCTAGTTTTGTGAAAAATGCTGGTGGTATTTTGATAGGGATTGCATTAAATGTGGAGATTGCTTTGGGTAGTATAGACATTTTAATAATCTTTGTTCTTCCACTCCATGAGCATGGGATGTTTTCCCATTTCCTTGGGTCCTCTTTGATTTCTTTCATAAGTGCTCTATAGTGTTCAAAGTATAGATCTTTTACCTCTTTGGGTAGGTTTGTCCCTAGGTATCTTATGGTTTTTGGTGCAATTATAAGTGGGATTGATTTCTTGATTTCTCTTCCTGTTGCTTCATTATTGGTGTATAGAAAGCCACAGATTTCTGTACATTGATTTTGTGTCCTGCAAATTTACTGAATCTGTTTGTCAGTTCTAGCAATTTTCTGGTGGAGTCTTTGGGTTTTCTCCTTAGAGTATCATGTTTTCTGTAAGTAGTGAAAGTTTGACTTCTTCGTTGCAGATTTGGATGTCTTTTATTTCTTTTTGTTGTCTGATTGCTGAGACAACTTCCAGTACTATGTTAAACAACAATGGTGAAAGTGGACTCCCTGTCTTTTTGTGACCATAGACAAAAAGCTCTCAGTTTTTCCCCATTGAGGATAATATTAACTGTGGGTTTTTCATATATGGCCTTTAAGATGTTGAGATATATTCCCTCAATCCTCACTCTGTCTTGAGGGTTTTTATCAAGAATGGATGCTGTACTTTGTCAAAAGCTTTTCTGCATCTATTGAGAGGATCATATGGTTCTTATCCTTTCTTTTATTAATGTGGTGTATCACATTGATTGATTTGGGAATTGAACTACACTTGCAGCCCAGGAATATATTCCACTTGATCTTGGTGAATGATTTTTTTTTGATGTACTGTTGGATTCGATTTGCTAGTATTTTGTTGAGAATTTTTGCATTTGCATTCACTAGGGATCTTGGCCTATAATTCTTTTTTAGTGGGGTCTTTGTCTGGTTTTGGAATCAAGGTAATGCTGGCCTCATAGAATAAGTTTGGAAGTTTTCCTTCCATTTCTATTTTTTTTGGAACAGCTTGAAATGAATGTGTTGTGGGTTGAATTATATACCCCCTCCCCCAAAAAACCCCTCCCTTTCCCCACCAAATTCTTATGTTGAATCTCTATCTCCTAATGTGACTTCCTTTGGAGATTAGACCTTTAAGGAGAACTTAAGATTAAATAACGTTATAAGGGTGGACCCAAACTCATTAGACTTCTGTCCTTATAAGAAGAGGAAGAGACACCAGAGGCACATGCACACAGAGGAAGGTCCACATGATGACACAGCAAGAAAGTGGCCATCTGCAAGCTATGGAGACAGGTCTCAGAAGAAACCAAACCCGCCTTGGTCTTGGAGTTCAGACTTCAGAGCTATGAGAAAATAGACTTTTGTTCTTTAAGACATCCAATCTGTGATATTTTGTGATGGCAGTTCTAGCTGATTGATATAGTATGCTTTTTCATTATTTTTTGCTTTGGAATTCAGCTTAGTGACCATACTAGAAAAATATCCAGCAGGCATAAAATTTAAAGTAGCAAACTTATATTTGCAGAAATGTATCTGTAAGAAAATTTTAAACGATTTCAAATTACCACTGAACACTATTTAATATTTAAGTTGTTCATTTATTTCAGTTACTTATGTTTATTTTTTCTAAAGATTTTATTTATTTATTTGAGAGAGAGAATGAGATAGAGAGAGCATGAGAGGGGGGAGGGTCAGAGGGAGAAGCAGACTCCCTGCTGAGCAGAGAGCGCAAAGCGGGACTCGATCCCGGGACTCTAGGATCATGACCTGAGCCGAAGGCAGTAGCTTAACCCTGAGCCACTCAGGTGCCCCACAGTTACTTATGTTTAAAACCTCATCCTATTTGGGGTAAATGTTCACTCAGATCAAGGTTCTTTTTTTTTTTTTTTAAAGATTTTATTTATTTATTTGACAGAGAGAGATAGTGAGAGAGGGAACACCAGCAGGGGGAGTGGCAGAGGGAGAAGCAGGCCTCCCACAGAGCAGGGAGTCCGATGCGGGGCTCAATACCAGGACCCTGGGATCATGACCCGAGCCGAAGGCAGACGCTTAATGACTGAGCCACCCAGGCGCCCCAGATTCAAGGTTCTTCTATATCCTTTTCAAGATGACAGGTTCAGAGGAAATTCCTTACTATGAGGTCAGCAAAATAACTGTTTGTATTTGGGTCTTGGGTTCTTGCTGTGCATGTCCCTGAAAATAGCAAATGATTACATGAGGTCTGGACCCTAGAAACGAGCTGTTTTTCTGTTAAATGTTCTGACTATATGGAATTTATCTGCTGTGGTCATCTCAGAATAAGTTATGTAAGCAGAGACCATACTTAAATTTATCTAAGTTTGCTGGCACAGAGGACTTTGAAAGGGGCAAATGGTCTCCCTTTGCTGCTTCCAGAAATACAATAAAATATTCTCCAGGATAGCAGCACAACCTTTCAGCTGAGATCAGTCTGCTTGCTTGGTGTCAGGGTACTGGGTTCAGGGAAGGGAGAATGTGTCTGCCTCTCCCACCTAGATTTCCTCAACCTATTTTCACTAAGTATTCAGAGGACCTCCATCAATTGGAAACAAAGAGATGAAAAATATTTCCAGCACTACATTTTCAAAATTGTTCCCATAAGCCATGAAAGATAATCTTTCTTTTTCATACCTTCCTCTAAAAATTAACCCAGTATACATACTCTCCATGTCGACATCAACAATTCTGCTCTTTGAAATTACTTTTCTTCATGTATCTTTCCAATTTGCCATATTGCTATAAAGCTCTTACCTTCTGTAATGGGACATGTGTGAAGGAATGGAATGGACATAAGATTTTTGTTCTGGCATATTCTCCCACCTGGAGACATTTTGTTAAAATGTCTATATTGTGGGAGCCTGGAGGAGGAGAAGAGTAGATGTTTATGAGAATGAGGAGAGAAAAACAGATCTCATCATTTTGTTTCATTTGTTTTGAAACAAGTAAATATTTCATTATAAGTGTTTGTGAAATAAATGAATGATGAATGAATGAATAAATTAGCTTCCAATTACCACAAAGAAATTATCTGGGAAACAGAAAATGGTCTCTCTGATATACCTATACAAATCACCTCACAAGACAACTTTTGTAAAAAATTTGGAGACACTTGATTGAGTGGTAAGTTTCTGTCATCTTCATCTTCACCACCTTTTTGTCCTAGATCTTGCTTCTTCCATTGGAATATGTTTTATTTCTAAGACCTGATTCCTCCAGTTTGAATCTAATAAATATGGAGTAGCTTGCATTTCATAACACACTAGTATATTAAAATATCCTTCCAAAATAAAGTCAAGAAAAAAAAGCAAAATGCTCCATTTCATCTTCAAAAGAACTCCCTGTAGGTCTTTGGCTTAAACCTATCTCTATATTATTTCACATTCAAGGTGGCTAACATACCTATAATGTAAAATTTGAGAAAATATCCAGGCTTACTTTTTTATTCTTAATTGATCCTGAAATCATAATTGATTCAATCTTTATTTATTAATGATTTGTAAAGATACAGAAACAGTAAAAATATCTGTACTTGGACATTTGATTCTATTCTTACTAATTCTTACATCAGAGTCTTAAATAATATACCTAACTTAGACATTACTTACTCAATTTTGAACTATTTGTGTAAAAGATGTCATGTAAAAACCAAAGTAAGTATGAAATGTGAAGAGAGTAAAGTCTATTTATATAGCCAGCTGAACATTAACATATTTTATTTCTTCTAAGAAATGGTAAAAATAGGTCAAGTACATTTCCATGAACTATAACATAAATTGGAGCATCACTTAAAAAATAACAGTATACTCGTGGGTCATCTCCTAAATGCTATGCATCATTACAATTTGAATCAATCAAAAAGAATCACAGTAACCTTTCCAACTAAGGTAGCACTCCTAAATCACTTTACTAACACATGTTACTTCAATTTGAAGTATTAAAAATAAATATATCTCTGCTTCACAAAGTGACTCTTATAGTTTAGAAGGATGTGCTAAGCTATGTTTTCTAGAGAATTTCAATGTACTATATAGCTCCACATTTTCAGCAAAGCATATATGGGATAAATTCTGAGTTTAAAACTTTAAATACAGAAGCTCTGTTTTTAGAGGTTCCATTCAGCTTTTTCTCCCTATAATTCTTAAAATTTGTTAGTCATAAATAATGAGAAACTGAAGAAACTAAGTGTACTATCAAAGCATATAAATTAATAGCTAAACATAAAGAGACTTCAAACAGATCTATTAAATATGCAGAATTAATTCAAGTTTTACCCCTGAAAGCAGAGTGGAGATTAACATACTATGAAACAGACCACAATTTGGGATACATTAATCTTGCCTTGATTAAGAGGGACAAATGTTCCACCCTACTTATTCTCTACCCTGCTTTTTCTATCTGAAAAACAATACATTTTGTAGTACAATGTTTCAGCTGAGAAACTGATCTTTTAAAAACAGTTCTAAGATCCACAAGACAGATCAAATACCCAGAAAACATGAATCCCTAGGACAGGTTAAAAGAGCATAGTCCCCACCCTCACCAGGGAAAGAACCAAGGGTGAAATTTAACAGAACACCAAGAGATAACAGATTTCTTGCAATGACTTCAGTGATAATGGACAGCTGGCTAGCTCTTTACTAGCCTCAAACATTAGCTGATTCATACATTAGTGCAGATTCATATGCCCAGGTCTAAAAATACTATGCCATTACATGATTTAGGGAAAATCCAACATACTTTTGTTTAGAATATTAAATGAATAGTTATGTAAATCACTTCTTACGGTACCTTGAATATAATAAAAATTTAATAAAAGTCATTTTCCTCATAGTTTACACCATGGAATGAGAAAGCAGACCAAACGCCATGCAAATATTTACACACACTAAACTTTACAACCTTGGTATTCTTTCCATAGTTTTTATTTACTCTTTATTTTAATCATTCTTACTATGTGGTTTTTTTATGTGGTGTATTTTTTTGGCTCTAAACACACACATACACACACACATCTGCAGGTCTGCTCAAATAAGATAATATATCTGTATGCTCAAATGTTGCTTGACTTACTTGGACTATGGACAGTTATTTCTAACTTTACTGCTTATGGCAGAATAATAATAGCGGACCAGCTCTCCCATGGTAAACAGCCATTAAGCTGGAAAAAATATCCAGTGCAGGTGGAGTGAAAAATAGGAAAACAAAACAAAACAAAACAAAAAAAACCTGCTACACATAAGAGAGGGACAGAAACTATCCTGATCCCAGACCATAAAGATTCAGTTCATACAGAGGAGGGGCAGTGTTACTGAGAAAGCCTCAAATTTGAGACCCAGGAACACAAACCAGCCTAAGTCTGAAATTGAAAGAGGATAACAGAGAATGTCACCACTGCATCCATCTGCAGACTAACAAGTAGCAGTAATAAATAGCAGTTTGTCCCTGAGGGCAAGGACACCATGCTGGAGAGGTAATCTCTTTAAGGAAAGACATCACCAGAATAACCTAAAGCTGAAAGAACAGAAATGTTGAGCAAAAATCTCCATTAACCCAGCCCCACGATATGCATGGACAACACTTGAGGAATCTGAAGGCAGTAGTGTAATGGTTTTAATAATAGTGACAATAAAACAAAAGCACAACTTGATTCCTGACTATCTTCACAAAGACAACAGTAAAGTTCTAGCAATGGAAGCATGCCCATAATTTGTTCTGATGATCTAATGTATAGCATGGTGACTACAGTTGATAATAATGTAATGTATACTTAAAATTTGCTGAAAGAGATCTTAAGTGTTCTCAACACACATACAGGTGCGCGTGCATGTACACACATGGTAAATATGTGGGGTGATGGATAGCTTTATTAGATTGATTGGGGGAATCATTTCACAAATGTATATGTATATCAAAACATGTTGGTGTACACCTTAGACATACAGGATGTTTATTTGTTACTCATACCCTAATAAAGCCAGAGGAAAAAGAAGTATGTTCATTTTGAGGCATAAACACTAGCTCAGTCTAATTTAATCTGTTTCATCTAAATACTATGCAACAAATACTGTAAGAAATAAGAGACAAAATGGACAAAGCAATCTATGGAAAGAGGTTCATATATAACCAAGGTGTTAGAACTCTCAGACAGGGAATTTAAAATAGCTATGATTAATATGGCACAGGCTATCCTGGGAAGGATGGACAACATACAAAAATAATGGGGAATATCTGCAAAGAAGTGGAAACTATAAGTAACAACTAAAATGACATGTGAGAAGTTTTTATTTCTTTATTCTTTATTTTTAAAGGTTTTATTTATTTATTTGACAGAGAGAGAGACAGCAAGAGAGGGAACACAAGCAGGGGGAGTGGGAGAGGGAGAAGCAGGCTTCCCACTGAGCAGGGAGCCCGATGTAGGGCTCGATCCCAGGACTCTGGGATCATGACCCGAGCCGAAGGCAGACACTTAATGACTGAGCCACCCAGGCGCCCCACGTTAGAAGTTTTTAAAAAGTAATGGTAACTTAGATGAAGAATGTCTTCAATGATATTATCAGTAGACTTGATAGTCCAGAGAACTTGAAGATAAAACTTAAACTGAACACAAAGAAAAACTTGAAAATAAGAAAAACAAAAAAAAAACAAAGAGCATCTAAGAACTTTAAGAAGATATTAAAGATTCTAACAGACATATAATTGGTATCTTAGATTGAGATAAGAGGGATAACAGGGAGAAGTAAACATTGAAGAGATGCTGGTCAAGAATTTTCTGAAAAATAAAAAGCATTAAGCTAGATATTTTCCAAAGAAGACATCCAAATGGCCAACAGACACATGAAAAAGTGCTCAACAAAGCTCGGCATCAGGGAAATCCAAATCAAAACCTCAATGAGATACCACCTCACACCAGTCAGAATGGCTAAAATTAACAAGTCAGGAAACGACGGATGTTGGCGGGGATGCGGAGAAAGGGGAACCCTCCTGCACCGTTGGTGGGAATGCCAGCTGGTGCAGCCACTCTGGAAAACAGTATGGAGGTTCCTCAAAAAGTTGAAAATAGAGCTACCATATGACCCAGAAATTGCACTACTGGGTATTTACCCCAAAGATACAAATGTAGTGATCCAAAGGGGTACAGGTACCCCAATGTTTATAGCAGTAATGTCCACAATAGCCAAACTATGGAAAGAGCCAAGATGTCCATCAACAGATGAATGGATAAAGAAGATGTGGTGTATGTATACATATATATATATATATACACACACACATACACAATGGAATATTATGCAGCCATCAAACGGAATGAAATCTTGCCATTTGCAACGACGTGGATGGAACTGGAGGGTATTATGCTGAGCGAAATAAGTCAATCAGAGAAAGACATGTATCATATGATCTAACTGATATGAGGAATTCTTAATCTCAGAAAACAAACTGAGGGTTGCTGGAGTGGTGGGGGTGGGATGGATGGGGCAGCTGGGTGATAGACATTGGGGAGGGTATGTGCTATGGTGAGCGCTGTGAATTGTGTAAGAATGTTGAATCACAGACCTGTACCTCTGAAACAAATAATAATTATATGTTAAAAAAAAGAAGAAGATAGTAGGAAGGGTAAAATGAAGGGGGGAAATCGGAGGGGGAGACGAACCATGAAACACTATGGACT